AGTAAAGTATCTGTTCTTTATTTGCTTGTTTTTTTAAATTAAGATAGACAAATACTTTTGAGCAAACTATGATATTTTCATTAATCAATTTCTTTCTTTTTCAAAATCATAAATTATTCTATCACAAATTGTTCATTGTTTTTTGCACCTGAAATAGTTCAATTATAGCATACCATGATTATAAAAAGAAAACAATTGGGGGTTGGGGATTTAGCTCAACTGCATAAGCGCCTGCCTTGCAAGTGTGCCGTCCTGAGTTTGATCCCTGGTACCGATAAAAAACAACAACAACAACAACAACAACAACAAAAAAACAATTTATCACTGAGTCAAAATTGATATATCTTTAAGGTAGTAAAAATATACCAACAAGCAACTGTAACTAGTAATTCTCTAAAAGTTATAAAATAAGACAACAATCCCTTCTGACTTTACAGTGATTATAGCCCCTGAGTGAAGGAATATTGGGAGAAGATAGATTTAGGAGAAAAATTTACTCTGACTTTAAACTTATTTATGTCATTATTCATCGCAAGGTACAAAGAAATGTGTAGCAATGCACTGATCATTCTAAGAAACTGTTCATGCATTAATAGCTGCTAACTACCTGTATGCTACAAATAAGGATGAGAAATATCTAGTAAAAGTTGTGATTTTTGCCACAAGTTTTGAGGTTCAAAAACACTAAAAGATGAAAACTTTAAGTAGTATTTAGTAGATAAAATTATGATATTTTATACTTATTTTCCATTGATGAGGACAAGACGTTGCTCATAGGTGGCTTCTAGGCTTCTAACTGGGCACATGTCAGTGCGATCATTCTCTGCAAGTACAGGTTTTGAGATACAATGAGATAATATCAAGAATTTGTTTTGTTGTGTTAATTATGCCAGAGATGTTTACCACTGGACATGCTGCTCTGTACTCACACAGGATGTTGTGTGGTGATATTTTTAGAAAAAATACATCACGCCGACTGAGAAAAGCAATTGGAAAAGAGAAAGTATTGCATGACTTGAGTTGATGTAGTTTGGAAGCAAGAATTTTATTTTAAACTGGTGTGAATTATTCAGTTGTGAAAAATGAATACAAAATAAGAAATATGATAACTCACAGCTGAAAAGATGAGTGCATGGGACACAGTGCATGTGGGATTATTGCCATATTTTTATCAGCACACGTGTATGGTGCATCAGGTTTATATTCCTTGTGGGGATTGGTACATGCTCTATGACCTCATCATTCCTTTTGTTCATCTTCTTTCCCTTCCCGCTCTCCACATTCTAATCATCTCTGGATTGTTTTGCACATGTTTTAAACACATAATGTTTACTTTTCTTTCGGTGAGTTGGGACAGATTCATTACACATCTTCATTTCTTCCTTCATCCCCTCTCCCTCCCTCTTTCTTCCCACTCCCTCCATCTCTGGATCTGTTTTCCTTTTAGAAAAAAATCTAATACCCCAGTTCCTACTCTCTAGCTTCCACCTTGTACTTTTAGACTCTTATATAAAAGAAATCACATTATGTTTAAACTCTTGTTTAAATAGATGAGTGGATAAAGAGTATGCAGTATTAATGTGCAGTGGAATAGACGAGGCCATAAAGAAGTTTAGCATTGAGTCGTTTGTTGGGAAATGGTGGGTGGGCCTTGAGACCTTAATGTTGAGTTGGTAGGAAACTTTATGACCAAGTGAAAGGATAAATGGATAACACTGATGGCAAACATCAATTGTGACCACACGGGATCTTGAGCTGATTTTGAAGAGTAAAGATCAAATTAGTTTGGAATATGAATGAGAACATAGTAAAACTGGACACTACGTTTTATTTCAAATAAGGAATCTACATCGTCTTCTTGAACATATGTAAATAGTGTTTTGAATATTAAGCTTAATGAAACACTTACTGGAGAGTGTTTGAAAAATAAATAGGAGAGTGGAGGCCTGGACATGGAGGAGACCCCTGGAAGATTGCTACCGTGGTTAATATGAGAATAGACGGTTTGTTTTGGTCGAGTGATATTAGCAGTGAGAGGACAGACAGGGCTTGAACAGGAATGATTCAGAGTCACCTAGCAAAGTTTTCAGAATTCTTGTTGGAAAATTTTCTGTCTGGTCATGTTAACCTAGTGAAACCCATTTTCTCTCAGAGTCATTCTACATGCTGATCTAGAATGAAGGCGACCTGCATCAGGAGGTTTACTAAACCATCCATCTGCCTAAACTCATATCACTTACTGCTCTAATAACATGGGAATTCTTTTGTTTTCTTGTGTTATGAAAGGAAAGTTTTATTCTGTTTTATAAGCATTTGGGATAATTTTGTTATCACCTCTTTTAGCAAGTCCTTCATTAAAGAAGTAATAGTTACATATATTTTGAAGATATATTCACTTGTTTCTTTTCTTTTTTTCTGGTTTCTTTTCCTTTCTTTTTGTCTTATGGAGACAGCATTTTACTATGACATTCAGGCTAGCCTTGAACTCACTTTGTGGCCCAGGCTCGCCTTGAATTTGCAGTGATCCCCCTGCCTCAGGCTTCCAGTGCTGTGCCACCACACCCAGCTTAACCTGTTTCTTGAAGAAATCTTCCTGTAATTATGTTTTCATCAAAACCATCCCTCCAAGTGTACAGTTCCAAATTATTGATATTCTAGTCATTCTAAATATTAGAGCTAAAGGTCTAATCTCCTTGGCATAGAAAAAATAATCTAAAATATTTCCCCACTACCTTTTTTGGAAAATTTGTCTGATAGGGCCATGGATTTAGGTCAGTGTCATAAGTGCCTGCCTGGCAAATGCAAGGTTGTAAGTTCAATCCCAATAGCAGTAAGTAAATAAGTAAATAAATAAATAAGAAAAATAAAAAATAAAAATTTGTCTGTTAGAAATAATGAATTATATTCTTCCCCATGCTTTATTGAGCTGTTTCTTTGTTTTTCAATATTTTAGATCGTGTGCTCTTAAGATAAAATGTGAATTATTAAAATGTTCAAAATTTCTTAATTTTATGTAAGTTTATCAAAGTTTTAGGCGGTTGCACTTTAAAACATTTTTAAGAAAATAATGCTCTGAAAAATGATTCATTTGCTCAGTTATCAGCACTTCATCAACTGTCAAAAACTCTGTATATGGCAAAAGACCTTCTAATTCGTTGTGCTTCACATGTGACACAGGTACTTAAAAATTATTGCATACTTACCGTATGGTGTTCTGCAGAATGTGTGCAAATCTCCACAATAAACATAAATGACAGTGGTAAGACACATGCTACTTACAGTTAAAATGATTCAGCTCCCTTAAATGTTTTCCTACTTGAGACTAACACTATCTTTGGTCTACATTTTTAGCCAGATTATGCACCCTATACTTGAAATAGCTTGAATTATTTTAAAGCCAAAAAAAAAGTACTAAACTTGTGTACATGGTAAGGTTATTCATGATCGCGTGACTACTGGATTCCTTCCCTCATAATTAGACTTTCTCACAGCGTTCTCTTCCCTTGTGCTCACAGGAAATCAAGTTGTCCAGTTTCCATTCTTCTGACATTTTGATTTAGGAATTTAGAAGATTAAGCAAATTGCAGGCATCACCCTTAATAAAAGGATGGAGAGAACAATTTTGATGCCAGAAAATAAAGAACTATTTCCACTGTAATAAGCAGAGAAGATTTTGTATTTCATGTGAGAATAGAAAGGTATACATTATTCTAGGGAAGTCATAACCATAACAGAGAGATTACAAGTGTTAGAATTGGAGCCCAATGCACTGAGCTTCCATCCCTGGCTGAGAATCGCCGTTCCGGAAAAGAAACAGAAGGATGTGGGATTTCATAGACTTTGCCAATGAGAATCTCAGAAATGGCTCTAAAGGGTTGAAGAATAATGCCTTTCTTTTATCAGCATCGTTAATACAAGCTGAGTATATAAGATATCAGACTTTTGTCTTAGGCAAAGCTTGATTTAACTCTCAGTTTTCAGTGCTTCATAAAATTGGCCATACTAAGGTTTGTGTGGTCTGGATTTCTCCTCACTGATAATGTCAATAATCAATTATTACACATGAAAATGAATAGAACTTTAGAAATTTCTTTTACTTTTTTTTTGTAAAATTAATACGTGGTGACCCTAACCATGATGAAGCACATCAACAAAGTTTCACTTTAATCACCAGTTTCTTTCATTCACATACTTCTTATTTATAATTTTTACTGAATTATAAATACGTTTCTGAGTTGTGATGTAAACTCTCAAGTATAATCATATAAAACTCCAAAATAAGGTAAATTTTAAAAATCATCAAAACAGATTTACGGGTGTGATTTTTTTTGGCCATTGATTAGAAATTGAAAAAGGTAAGGATGAAGAACACTTTAATCAAAGCTGTATGAAAGAAATGCAAATATATTTCCTTGGTTTTGCTGTCTAGGAAATCAAATAGCCAAAAGACGCTCACACTCTACTAGTAATCACAAACTAAATGACAACTCCAGCCACATTTTCTTTCACATCATTTAAACAGAAAAGCCAATTAAGTGGAACATTAAATGCTGATGAATCACAGTGGCATCATAAAATAGCAATTAGATAATAATCAGTTAATGAAGTAAAATGACAATGCAGAAGTCATCAAATGACAGTAACAGAACCAATCCATTAATGAGAAGTGACACTGAGGAATAGAAATGCCAAACAGATCAGCCATTATGACTGAAATTATATGGGGTAGATTTATGCAGTTAATTGGATTAAAATGCTTCTGGTACTTAAGGTATTTTTCTGGGGCTGATTTACTATTGCATAAAAAAATAAAATAAAGAATCTTAAAATATGTTTTTGAAGAGATAACTTCCAAGTATATCCTCTCCTATTTTTAAAGAGATTTTTAAGCATCTTGTTCAAACATTAGTTACACATTAAAATTACCATAGATATTTTGAATATAAATACCTGAGGGTCAGAAATGCAAATATTAGGAAACCTCTTTTCTTTAATTACAGGTTTACAATTACCCTCTGCCACTACAAAGCTCAAGATGAAGGAGAGGACAGATTGGTAGAAGATCAAAATAAACTACATTCCCATTGTTATGAAGTAACTGATTCCCAGGTTTCGCTTCCCACTGACCATATATGTTAATATGCATTGGAATTCACAGGATAGATTCTTCTTAAACTGTAGCTCAAGAACGCACAGCTATTTCCAAAATGAAGAAAATGCCTTGGAGAGTACAAATGATGACAAAAATAAATAACACGTTTTTATATTTACACTTATAGTCTTCATCCTGAAATTCATATAATATAGACATAAAGTCTGCAGTTTAAAATATGTTTTGAGGGGCTGGGGATTTAGCTCAGCAGCATAAACTCCTGCCTTGCAAGCAGGCAGTTGTGAGTTTGATCCCCAGTACTGATAAAAAAGAAAAAAAGACAATGTATATAAAATATGTTTTGGTCATGAGTTATATGGTCTATTTTTTGGACAAATGTATAATCAAATGTATGCATCAATATCATATCCTATAGGCTAGGTATCCTGGATTAAAAGTTATTTGTGTTCCACTTGCTTAGCCCTTTTTCTCCAACCTCTGGTAACCACTGATTTAATATCTTTTTTTTTTTTTTTTTTGTCTCACTATCTCGGTGTTTTATCTTTTATCTGGGCAAAATGTAGTTTGAATCATAAAGAAGATAAACTTTTTCAATGAGCTTCGTTCACTTAGTGATATGTAATTGCAGTGTCTCTTGTGTTTCACAGTGCTTGATACCTCACTTATATTTACTGTTAAATACTTTCAGTGTGTGGACATACTACTGTTTAATTATCTGTTCATCTACTGAAAGACACCATGGTAACTTTTATGTATTTGTAATTATAAATAAAGCTTCCATAAATACCTATGTTCAAGTTTTTGCTGATACAATTTTTGGTTTTTGTAGGTAAACATCAAGGAACACAATTGTTATGTAATACTATGGTAAGAGTATCTTTAGTTTGTTGTGAACTGCCAAATTTTCTTCCAAAGAAGTTTCATTATTTTTCATTCACACACTTTTCGTTGTCTTTGTTATTGGGAGAAGGGATCTTGTTACATCGCGCAGGCTGGTGCAGAGCTCACAATGGCCTGTCAGTCTCCTCAGGGCTGGGGTTGTAAGCATATACCACCATGTCTTCCTAGCTCACGTCCTTGTCTGCATCCCGTTTTGTCATGATTTCGTAGTATGTCATGGTTGTAATCAAAGTGCCCGGGAAAAAGGCCTAGGCTGCTTCCCGGATGACTAGACACAGTACCTGACATCCACAACATAAAGCAAATGCGGTTTAACGCAGCTCCTGTTTGAGAGATTTATTCTCTAGTTGCCTGGTTCTAAGACAGAAACGTTTGGGGAGAAGTGAGTAGGGGCACAAAGCTGCTTCGTTCATGACGGACTGAAGCAGGGAAACATCACCCCAGGCAAAGCGGGAGGGACACGATACAGACCTAAGGGCCCTGCTCCGTGAGCCAACAAGGCATTCCCATTTGCCCATTTTTAAATGAGGCTGTCCAATTGCTCTTTAAGATTTAAGTATGTTTCCTGATTTTTGGGGAATACTTGCTTCAGAAGTATCCTTAGCAAATATTTTTCCTAACTTGTGAGTTTTCTAGTAATTCTCTTGCAAATGCCTTTCACAACACAGAAGTTTTAATTATAGTGAAGTCCAGCTTATCAACTCTTCCTTTCATGGATCAAATTCTTAAGAGTTATATCTAAAAATTAAGTCATTTGTGGCGGCACATGCCTGTGTACTCAGGACTTGGGAGGCTGAGACAGGAAGACCAACGTGAGTTCAAGGCCAGTCTGGGCTGCAAAGTGAGTTCAAGGCCAGCACAAATTGCATAGCAAGACCCTGTCTCAAAACAGACACACAAAATAATAATATTAATAATCCCTACTCTAAAAGATATTTATGTTATTTTCTAGAATTCCATGTTGTTTTACCTAAGAGTCAATTATGTAATGACCATTCTGCATTATTTGACTGTTCACATAGACTTTAAAGCCATTTTATCAAAACCCTTGCAAAATAAATTGATAGGTAGCTTATTGGGATTTCACTTAAATCTATAGGTCAAGTTGGAATGAACTAAAATATTTATCATAATTGAGCTTTCCCATCCATAAACATAAAACACTTCTATTTAGCTTTTACATTATTTACTTAATGAGAATTTCACTTTCCCTCATATAAATTTGGTGCATATTTAGCTTTAAACCTAGATATTTCATTTTCAGGAAATATGTATAAGTAGCAATATATGTTATTTTCATCTTCCACCAGTTCACTGTTACACAAGAGAGCGTTTATTGTTACTTTTGTTATCCAGACATCTTGCTACAATCTGTTTTTAGTTTAACAATTTTTTCTTTCCATTTTCAACATACATGATCATTCCATCTATAAAGACAATTTTATTTTATCCTTCCTAATCTATACAACTGTCTTTCTTTCTTTGTATTATTATTATTTTTACTAGAGTTTTGATCCTGAAGGTCCTCTAAAGACCCACGTGCTAAAAGTCTAGTTGCCATGAATTAAGAGTTGGTGAGAATTAGAGCTAAAGCCCACAGGGAAGACTTCGGGTTGTTGGCTGATGGAGAATTCCACTGAGGAAGATTTTGGGGACTGGTTTCTTTAACCCTGATTTTTCTTCCTTGGCCATGATGTGATCCATTTATTCCACCATGTGCTTCTTTTAGGATATATTAGCTACCACAAATGCACCAAGCAATTAGCCAAATCATCATGGACTATAATTTCTGAAACTATATATATATATAGTTTCAATATTAGAAACATTAACCAAAAGCAATATAACATAAAATATTAGAAAAAACTTACACTGTGGAGAACTTTGCAATTTATTCATAAGATGATTCTGAAACGTTTGGAGGAACAGGTTGAAAGGAGTGTACAATGTCACATGTGAAACTTGATGCAGTATGAATCTCGAGAAGACTTTAATGACCCAGATGCTAGGGGTGTGGTCTTCAGCTTTATACTAGAGACAAGTGAAGGAAACTTTAAGTGATGGTCCCCAGTTGGAGGGTTTAGGTTAATGGGAGCATGAGCATGAAGAGGACTATGTGACCCCACACCCTTTTTTTCCCCCTTTCTGTCACCCTGGCAATGAAGTGAGTGATTTTAGTACACTATGAACTTGTACCAAGATATCCTGCCTCATCACAGGCACAAAGTAATAAGGTCAGTTGGTTACCGATGGGATCCTGCAGGGCTGTCACCTCAAATAAGCTTTGCGTTTTATTTGTTGTTTATCCTAGGTATTGGTTACAGTCATGTAAAGCCTTGAATTATAGCATTATGTTTCAGTACCCATGAAAACAGTACACATGAAAGCAGTGGTGATACAGGATACAATAACTTAGTCCTGATTTTAACAGAAACATTTTGGATTTCTCACCATATAATGTAATGTTAACTTTGGTATTTTTATTTATTTTAAAAATTTTTTGTCTTTGTATTTTTTAACTTTCATATTTTATATGTATCTTTTATTAAATCAAGAAAGTTCCTCTTTATTCCTAGTTTACTAAAAGTTTTTTGTTTTTAATCTTGATTGGTTGGCAGAATATTTAAAGTGCTTTTCATTTACTCATTGATAAGATTATGAAATTTTTGTTCTGTAGCCTCTTGAGGTGATGAAGTAAAGTAATTAGTTTCCTAGTGTTAAATCAGTCTTGTATAATTGAGATAAATCCTGTGCTTTTGTCTGTGTTGTGTAATTCTTTTTAGATATTGGCTGATTTAATTTGTTAATATATTCTTTATGATTTTTGCAAAAAAATTATAGTATTAATTGACAAAATTTCTTGAAATTTTATTTCTATAATCAATTCCTTTTATCCTGCATTTAAAGCATAATTTCACAGAATATTTGTGGTTTCTCAACACTTTAAGTGTTGTGGTGTACTATGTTCTTGATTTTATGGAATCTAGAAAGGTGATAGATACGATTACTATGTTTGTTTCCCTGTATATAATGTACTTTTCTATCTATAACTTTTTTTAAAGATCTTCCCTTCAAAACTGACTTTATATACTTTGCATATGTATTTTTTCTTTTCCTTTTTTTGTCTTTTTTAGGGCTTTATCTTGTCCCACTTTCTCCTAGGGACTATGTGTTCACCTCTGAGATTAATTTGAGTAAATTGTTAGTGAATAGTGTTTGAAATATTGCTTCATCTCTTTCTTTTTTATCTCTTTCTGCTTTCATCTTTAAACGTATGTATACATTTTCTTTTTGTCCCACAGTTCTTGGGTAGCATGTTCATTTTGTCTTTTTAGTGCCTTGTTTTGAAAGCTTAGATGTGTCTTTTGACATATTATTAGACTCAGACTCAATTGCCTTAGCAATGATCTGTATCCCAAATAGTCCACAGAGACATTCTTCACTTGTGTTACATATTTTATCTCTAGCATTTTTTCCTTGGAATTTCTCTCCCTCTGTATCACCCATCTATTCCTGAAGGTTGAATGCTTTTTCCTCTAGAGTCCTTAATATTTAAATCATACTTTAATTCACTGTATGATTAGTTTAGTATCCCTGCCACATCTAAATCCGCTTCTGATGTTTTCTTTTACCTGCCTCTGAATGTTTTTTTTTTTTTTTTTTTTTTTTCAATTCAAGTATGGTGACACAAACCTGTAACTCCAGGAGGTGGGAGCTGAGTCAGAAGGGTAGTGTATCACAGTCAACGTGGGCCACATAGGTATATTTAATAAAATATAAGTTGTCTTGCTTCTTGTATGTCAAAATTTTAAGGATTTCTAGAATTAATAGATAGTATTAAATCTTAAGGATTTGTAAAGTTAATGGCATATTTACTAACAAAATGAGAAGCAAATGATTTTCTTTAGTTGTACAAGATATACTCCCGGCTCTTTTCCCTTGCTAGAGTTTTATAATTTACAAATAGTTGAATGTTCACTGGAGAGTCCATATATCTCCGTGTAAACCGTGTCACTTTAACAAGTGTGTTAATAATATTACTGCATTACTTTTCACTCAAGAGCAACACAAACGGTAGTACCATTTTATTACAGATCCTTAAAGCAAATTTATGAATGGAGGCCTTTTTAAAGCATTCATTTTGATGGAAGACTGATCTTTTTGGTGTACATTCATTGTAAACTTGAAACAAGAGGTTTACTGAACTCCATTACTCTTAATTATTTGTCTCAAAAACATGGGTTGCGAAATAGCATTTTCCAAAACTTTCATGTTACATAATAATGTTACTATTATCAGAGATTCAAAGTTGTGAAGAAATGCCAATCTGTTACTGCTTTTGACATGTAAGCTGCTTATGCCATTTCCATTTTCTTGATATTTTATTATATTCTCCAATTCAGGTAAGTTTCTCAAGAGTTTGTCTCTCCTCACTTGATATTAAAAACAACACAAGTGGGCACATATACACAGAGCTTGGCTTTCCAGTGAAACTTTTTTGTGTAACAATTTGTAAATTATATGAAAGCAAAATTATTATTATTGAAGTAAAATAATAGAACTTGGACTATTTTAGCATGAGTTATGCATTTGAAGCAATGTTGATTTTAAAATGACTACATAGAAGAGGAAGAAATCTCTAATCAATAATTAAAATTTCCACCTTAAAAGAAGAGCAAATGTGTCAAAGAATGAGAAATGCACCATATTTTTAAATGAATCTTTAAAATAGGCAATAGTAAAGAAAATAGGGAAGTCAGTCAAGCAAAGAACAATGATGTTTCTTTGTAAGCATCAATAATACAATTTGCAAATCTTAACCAGATTGTCAGTACACATCAAGAAATAGATGATTCAAATTACCAAAGGAGAATTTAAGAATGAGCATCGATATTAACTTTAAATAAATTTTGTAAGAATGGATTGTAAAGGAATGCTGTGAACATTTGTGTACCAATAAATGAGATAATTAGATGAAATGACAAATTGCTAGAAAACAACAAACTACCACACCTGCTTCAGGAACG